AATTTGATCAAAATTTCTGAAGAGTTTTGGTAAACACGGGAATCTTGTTGGAAAAAGGAAGCAAGGAGCTTTGGAAAAAGGAAGCAAAGCATGGAAATGTTGCATTATTTGCAGATGTAAAGCTAAACTCTGAAATACTGAAGATTTTATCGCACCAGGCTAACTGAAGACAGCTTACTAGAGCAAAAAGTTTGAAGCCGGCTAAAAGGGGAAAGCAAAAGTTATTATTGAGACCAAATCTGTAAAATAGAAAGAATGACTTGTAATTATCTGACGAATGACTCTTGTAAGAAAGACTTAACTATCTTGAGTAAAGGACTAATTTCCTGCTCTGGATTTTGATGAATTGGTGTTAGACCAAATTGGTGCTCATTTCCCGGATTTCCGGAGACTCTTGTTGGGATTTCGAGTCATGCTAATTGCTTGAAGTTGAAGAGAAAGAAGGAAGAAGATTGAAAAGGGAAAGCTTGAATAAAAGGAATCTCGTGGTGAAAGATTTAGAGGCAAAGAGTTGGTTTAGAAAGGCTTGACTGGTTTAGAAAGGCTTACAATCCAATATCTCTGAAAGTTACTGGATTGGACTGTGTTTGTGATTGGGACTGGATTGGACTGTGCTCCTCTCGAGCAAGTAATTACTTGAATAAATTTGTGTAAGTAATTTTTTTTTACTTAAGTAACGCGTTAAGCAAATCTCAAGTAATCGTATTCTAAAGAGTGATTTTTTTTCAATTGTTTTATATATAAATAAATGTAAATATAATGTAATTAAGTAGTTTTATTATTTTTCTATGCTTTTGAAAGCTAATAATTCTAGCAACTTTTAGCTAAAATCCTTTGAATCGATCTAGCAAAGAACCAAAAATTTCTTATGAAAAAGAGCCAAAAATTTAATTCGAACGGGGATCGAACTTGCCGCTTAACGGCTGTTCGCTTTATAGACAAGCACGCAAGCCACTAAATTAGCCGGTAAGCTTATTTATAGCATTCATCGCTTTGGAGGGCGGTTTAGAAAGCGATTACTCGAAAGGAACACACTCTGCAGTCCAAATCCAAGTCCAGTCTCGCTCTTATCTCAGCGATTTAAGAGAATATGCTCTTGCAATACTTTTAAGCTATTAGATTAACTGTGAAATGGTTGAAACTCAATGGTTTAAATGGTTTAAACTCAAAAGTTGATTGGAGATAAACTTGACTTGAGTTGACTGGATATAAAGTTGACTGGATATAAAGTTGGTTGGATATAAAGTTGCCTGGATTTAAAGTTGGCTGGTTATAAAGTTGTCTGGATATAAAGTTGTCTGGATATAAAGTTGACTGGATATAAAGTTGGCTGGATAGAAAGTTGACTGGATATAAAGTTGACTGGATATAGCTGAATATAACTGGATATAACCGTCTGCATGTATGAGTCAGATGGATTTCTTTCTACAAATGGATTTCAAAACTGTTTGTTTCAAAGTCTAGATTTCAACAAGCGTCTAGCTTCCAACAAATTAGTAACAAAATTTCTAAACCAGAAGCTGAGCTAACAATAGCCAAGTAAAGGGAAATCCCAGGTGTGCAATTTTTTTGAAGATAGAGGAGTTTTTTTTTTGGGATTTTTAGGAGTCCCTTGTGTTTCTCCCTTTGGCCTTCATTTTATCATGTTGATTGTCTTCCCGAATTGCGGCAAAGAGACGAGTTTTTTGTCGATTCCTCTGGCTGTTTCTGGTGACCTCAAGGACTCAAAAATGAAAAACGAGACCCAAGAGAGAATAAAGAAAAGACAACTGGGGGGGGATACTGACAAAAATAGATAAGCTAGCTGTTTTTTTGGTCTAATTATGTTATAGGTGGCAAAAATGAACTGACAGTATCAAGCAAATCAACAAATCAACAAAAATGGTGATTAGAGACCTGGTAATCTAGTGCAAAACTTATATAGAAGTAGAAACTTTTGGTAAAAAAGTTTTGTAAGTTAACTTTTATCGATTTAGAATCACGGTACCACTCTTTTGAGTCGTTTCGAGCAATGGTTTTCCCCGTGTTTAGTCTTTTGGACAACAGGTTTTGTTGTCTGGAGGTTTTGTTTTTGAAATTTCTACAATATACGCTATTTTTAAGATAGCTTTAAGCTTCTTAAGATCGATTTAAGAGAGAAAATGCTATATTTTCTATAGCATTTTTTAATCAATCAAAAAAATGAAGACTGATACTTGATCTACCAACGTTTTCGAATATTTTTACACCAGATGAGCATGGATCCTTCGTCAGTCTGTTATCAGAGCAAAAATGTAATCATTTATTCTGATTCTGATGCCAGATCAACGAAGCAAATTTCATTTAGCAAAGCTAAGCAAAGCAAAGCTCAGTTTTGAGGAAACGAGGATCTGATCGTGCTCATCTGGTACCAAAACAACGAAAAATGATTTGGATTTGGTGCTGGACTTAAGATTAGGGTTGTCAGAATATAGGATTTCTATTGAAATGAGTTAAAGTACAATGTAGCAAAGTACAATGCCATTTCGAGATGCCAATCTCGAAATGGAAAACAAGTCTAATTGTAAGCTATAACGGGTGTTTGTAGGACATTTGACAAAAGACAAAATGACAAAAGGGGCGGGGCGACGAACCTTTTATATGCACTGCACCCCTTTGCCATTGGCAATCCAACTTTGAGCTCAAATATCTTGGCGCTGGGCTGTTCAATTTAAATAGTTTTTTTACGAATCGACAGAGAAAGACTCGGCACATCTAATGGTACCAAGAATATCGAAGTGGGACAGCCCAACACCAAGATATTTGAGTCCAATGTTAGGTTGGCCAATGGCAAAGGGGGGGGGGGGGGGCGGCGAAGCCCCTTTGCCATTGGCAATCCAACTTTGAGCTCAAATATCTTGGCGCTGGGCTGTTCAATTTAAATAGTTTTTCTACGAATCGACAGAGAAAGACTCGGCACATCTAATGGTACCAAGAATATCGAAATTGGACAGCCCAACACCAAGATATTTGAGTCCAAAGTTAGATTGCCAATGGCAAAAGGGGCGTTTCAAATGTCCGATGGGTTATTGAACTAAAGTAAGTTGAAAATTCTCGGTCTGAGTTTGAAAACCGCTAAAACGAAAGAACTCAAAAATGAATTGGCGAACCAAAGCGAAGAATGAACAATTGGCAAAATTTCATGGCTGTGGTACTAGAAAGGGAGGTACGAGTGGTGCCTGATGGGATGTGTTGGTGCTTTTCCCAGAATTCGAGGCATTCCCTTACTCTCATAAGAAGAGAAAGCGTCCGAGCGTGCATTCCTCTTTTGCTATTTTTCTCCCCCTAGTCGAGTCTATTCATTCAATCGCAATATTCGGGAGAGGATAAAGGCTGAAAGGGGATGGGCAAAAGGGGTTCGATGTGTGAATACGAGCTCTAATCAGCTTCCATCCACCAATTCTATTCCACCCCATTCCACTACAATCGGTGACTCATCAGAAAGTGGATTCAGGGGATTTCGAAAACGTTTTTGATTCGGTTTTGCGGGAATCTATAGTTGAGAAAATGGATTCAGAGGATTTCAAAAATTGTTTGATCTATTTTGATCTATGATTAGAGGCTATTTTGTTTTGTTTGTTGTCTGTTTGATCTATTGGGTTGATGGAAAAGTCCTTTCCGATTTTTTGAGAGAGTAACATGTTTTTAGCCTAGGTTTCTGCACGGAAAACTAACGAAACGTGAAAACAGCCATTTTTGGCTCTGCCGCCCTTTACTAAAATAGTTGTAAAAACTTTTAGAAAAGAGATATCTCAAAACGGTTTTTACCAATCGATCCGTCTTGAATTCAGCTTTAGGATGAGCTATAAAACGTCAAAATTGGACAAATTTAAGATACTCTCTCAACAAATCGGAAAGGACTTTTCCATCAACCCAATATTTTAGAATCCCTGGGAATCTCTGAATATTTCATTAAGAGAAAGCTGCCAATATTTGTAGTATAACTTCAACCAGACTACTGAAATTACGGTGAAAGATAAAAAGAAGTTAAGGAAAGTTGTTTCCAGGCTAGAAAAGTTGTTTCCAGGCTAGAAAAGTCGCAAAGCTAGCACTATGGAGAAGATTTAGTCGACTATAAACTACTATAACTTTCTTTAAACTAAAATTTATAGTAGTTTATAGTCGACTACGGTCCATTTCAAGTCAGGGCCACTACAAGCCACTGTAATTTTCTTTAGCGCTGATATTTTTGGGTGTGCTTTAGTTCATTAGAAAGTTCTTGAGATTCTCTATGTTTTTAGCTATAAATCATGTCAATCTAACAGATTTGAACCAAGTTAGAAGCGTTTGTAGTGTTAGAGGTTGTCATTTTTGTAGATTATAGTGCCAATGTCTACTCCTACTCCTACTAGTAAACCCCTTTTGCCTCCCAAGTGCCTATAAAAGGAATTGGCCATTTAGATTTCGATCACGGGTCAGATGTCCAAAATTTCGAGTGCTCCAAAAGCACTTGGATGTGTCTCGAAATGTGATTCTCATTCCTCTTTTGGGTAAATTAGGAACTCGTGTTTCTGAATCCATCAACCAGAACGGATTTGTCTATGCAAAATGAAATGACAGAGATAAAGGAGAAAGATTGGGTCGGAAATCCACTCCATTCATGCAAAGTGAAAGCCTCATCTTTGGGGATAATCTTTGGCATCTGTCACGGAATCTTCACCCAATAAGACGCGGGTTTACTTAGGCAATTTGGAGTTGGCTTGAATTTCATTTGATTCAAGAGGAATTCAAATTCGAAATAGCTTCAAAATCTAATTGAGAACTTCAAAATTGAGCCTCAATAATGCTAAAATTGAGTCTCAATAAGGGAAATCCTTTGGGAAATTTTGATCTTTACAACTTTTGTTTATCAATTTGACTCAATCTTTGAGACAACTAGTATTGAATTTTTAGATTCAGATCAAAATAGAAGTAAAGACTAAACTAAAGAACTAAAGACGTAGCTTTATAAATTTAAAACCCCGAAACACTTTCCAACTCACTTTTCTTCTTGTACTCCATTTCGGTCGTTTTCCGAACGTGGGAAAACTGTGTCCTCTGGATGAGAAGAATCCACCGCAAATCGGCTAGAGACGACGAGGGTTTTAACCAAAAAACAACTAAATTGATTTCTTGAAAAATCTTTCAACTCAGAACACCTAGGGAGTGGGACAAATGCGACCTTTTTTTGCGCACCCGGTCAAAAGCGCACCTTTTTTTCGCCTTAGGAAAGGCCGTAGAGCATCAAAAATGTTTTCATGTCAGGGAATCGCATGCGTAGATTCCGAATTTCGACAAATCAAACCTCGCTGGCACATCAAATTTGGGCTAAAAGGCAAAAACTACGGAAAAGCGTTAAGTTGTGTAGTTTTTGCCTTTAAGCCCAAATTTGACGTGTCAGCGAGGTGAAATTCAGAATCTACCCATACGATTCCCTGACATGGAAACATTTTTGATGCTCTACGGCCTTTCCCAAGGCCTTTTCCAGCGAAAAAAAAGGTCGCATTTGTCCCACCCCCAACATCTACCTTTATTTTCCTTGAGAAACAGACGATGACGCCCAATCGCTTGAAAATCTCATTGCAGAGGTCGCTGAATCGAGTTCTAGAATGATAAATCGATTTTGAAATGATAAAGAATGATAAATCGATCAAGAAATTATAACAAAACATAAGCAAATGGTATTTTTGAAATTTAAAAAAGAAAAAGATATTATTGAATAAAATAGACGAAGAATTATGATAGTTTTGAAAAGTTTACACCCTTTGGAAAATGTATTTAGTTAAAAAGCGCACTTTAAACAACGAAAGCAACCAAAACAACAAAAAAGAGAACCAAAATTTCAAAAGGTTCAAATAATTTGTGAAATTTGAAGATTTAAAAATTGAAGATTGAATGTTAGCTTAATTTTCAAGCACATATAAATTGAATAATGAGAAATCGAGAGGAAATAAGGTTTCGATATGATTCGATAATCAAAAAACAGTCCACTCAGATCACTCAGCAGGTCACTTAGCAAAAACAGCAAAGCAAAACAGCAAAGCAAAACGTTCAGAAAAGTCAACGATTTTAAACTCCAACCATTCACAGCTTATTTTACGTAAACTCAAACAAATACAGACGAAAACGTGAAATTGAGGCAAATATTGAGGCAAACAAATGGTATCAAATGGTTAGAGTATAGCTGAGGTGAGAAGTGGTCGCCGAGAAGATAAAAAAAAGGGGTAAAGGGGTGAACAGAGCAAACAATTTTTTTGGGTGTTGGAAGGGGTGCCTGCTTGAACTGGTTGTTGAGGGTGGGTGAAGAAAGAGGGAACACTGATGTCTTTTTTTTTATTTAAAAAATCGTTTGATGTAATCATCTAAAAATAGGAGAGAAAGAATCGTGTAGTTGAAGAGTGTACTTTGTACAAAAAAGTTCATCTTTTGCATAGTTTCCGAGTATTTTTAACGAGTCGTCTCACTTTGAAGGCCTATAACTTTGTCCAGAGATCATATTTTTGCTAATTTTTAATATCGTTGTAAAGAGGACATTTTAGGCTTTCAAATGATACCAAATTGGATAACCCAGTCCAAGAAAATCAGAGCCCAACTCTCAGCAAATGAGGCCTATCCAACTCGAACCTATCCAAGCTTGCGAGTACAATATTACAAAGTACACATGCGATAATACAAGTAAATTTCTTTTAGATGATGGCTCAGGTGCTGCTAGACTTCTTTTGGCCACAGCCGTTCCGTTCCAGGTGAGTAGGAATGGCAAGAGAGTACAAAAGTCGGCTTTTGCGTAGTTGCTGGGTATTTTGAACGGGTCGTCACGCTTTAAAGGTCTATAACTTTGTCCAGAGATGATACTTTAACTAACTTTGTATATCATTGTACAGAGGACATTTCAGGCTTTCAAATGATACCAAATAGAGCTTGATTCGATAATCCAGTCTAAGAAAATCAGAGCCAACTCTGAGCAAATGAGACCTATTCAACTCAGGTGTCGTGTCACCTGGTTTTCATAGGAATGAAAAATCCAGTCAAGCTCTATTTGGTATCATTGGAAAGCCTGAAATGTCCTCTGTACAATGATATAAAAAGTTAATAAAAATATGATCTCTAGACAAAGTTATAGGCCTTCAAAGTGAAACGACCCGTTCAAAATACCCTTTGCAAAATTGTTCTTGCAAAATATCCGGATTCGAGCAAAATGGACCAAATGAAAGCAACGATTGATTGATTGACAAACTGATTTAACTTGTTTTAACTGATTTTTTGTATTTAACACTGACTTAACAGTGAGAAAATGAACAATTTTTGAACAATATACAACAAGATTGGCGGAGAAAAGGTATTGAATTCGACATTCGACAACAATTGAGCGAAATCACTACCTTTCCGTCGTCATTTCACGTTTTCTTACTTTGAAACTACTTTTGGATTTAAATTTGTAAAATTGAATGTAAATCAAAAGTAAATTCCAGCCGCGGTGCTAAATATTTAGCATATACTGCTTGTATCAAAACTGTTTTGTCGTTGATTAGTAGTTAGGCTAACATGAAACTAGGCTAACGTGAAGCTATTAGGTTGATGCATAAGTGTTTTCGTTTTTTTCGTACTTCTGTTAAAAAGTAACAAATTCACCAATTAATCTATAGTTTGCTCTATAAAAAAAGTGTTTTTTTGTTCAATTTGCATCTTTTTAAATGAATTTCGGTTCACTTTCGAGAGTGAAAAACGCCTTTTTCGTAAAAATCTATAAAAAACTCGACGGAAAAATTGGCTGAATGAATTTCTCTGAAATTTTGGCGAAATATCAAACTTTTTTTCTCTATCTTTTATCTATTGACACGAAGATAGGTTTTCTTTAGCTAAGGTGTCTAAACCGCATCATCGAGTTAGCCCTTTTTGACTACCCGACTTCATACTCTCAAGAAAATCCAGGCATTAAATATTTTTAAACCCGATTTAATGTTATTTTGCAGAAAAATAATTGGTTTTTCTAATGAAATCAACCGTAGTTTAATTGGTGCATTTGTTGGCTTGAAACGGCAGACGAAAAGGAACGAAAAGACTTATGCATCAACCTATTAGGTTAACGTGAAAATAATCCCAAAGTAAAAGATCAAGCTAAATCAAAACCCAAGTCGTAAAAGTAAGCAAGGAAAACTTTTAAAAAACTTTGTGTAAAGAAAGACAAAGTATCGGTAAAGAATAAATCTGGAACACTTGCAAGAAAGACTGAAACTAAAAACATTCTCTTTGTTTGTTGCGGGGGCGCTGCTTTTGCTTTTACAAGCGTTTTTATGCGGTAAAGTAGCTGATAGGAAGGATCGGCAAGCCATTTTGAAAGTGAGAAAACGGAAATTGACTCGATTTGGGGAAAATAATTGGTTCAAGAAGTCAAAAAAGTCCAAAGAAGAGCTGGAAATAGCGTATCGTTGAAATACCGTATTTTCTCTAATAGAAAGACTCTAATATTCATCCAGCCGAGCCGAGTTAATGACTATTTTACAGTTTTCAAGTTTTCGCAGAAGCTCAACACTCTTCTCCCCCACTAGATCTCATCGTCAGCTACATTTTCCGACCCCACATCGATAGGTTCTGATAAGCGGTTTTTGAGATTTCGAGTAATTTAGGCGAAGCTTAAGGAGCACTACTATTAAGGAAAATACGGTGATGAGAATGATGGTTCCTCAACTGATTGTACTCGAAATAAGCCTCTGGCTTATTTCAAGGTAATCAAGGTCTTTGGGGAAAGTAGAGTATAGTTTTAAACTAAGTAACGATTGTTTTTGGGTAACTGGGGATAATTCGAAGATTTGCTTCTCTATGGCTTGAAATACTTGACAGAAAACTTAAGAAACTCTCAGTTTAAAGCTGTCAGCAAATATTTCACGTGTTTTTCTACTAGACTTGGCTAACGATACTTTGAAGTGCTCGCGTTAAAACGAACATATCTTTAGACGCAATTATAGCAATTTAGACGGCGATCAGGGTGCACTACTATTAGAGAAAATACGGTATTCTGCTTGCAAGTTCTACTGAATAAGAAAGGTATGACAAATCCTACTTTAAATCTTTAAAATAAAGGATCAGAAACAAATCTTTGATCAAATAAACTAAACAAGATCAAATATTTAAAGATTTGCTCTTATAAACTTAAATTGCGACTCTAAAATTTGAATTATTTAGTCTAGATTGGAAATTTTCAAGGAAAACCTTGAGGAAAATTGAAAAATTCAGCAAAGACACAACAATCTAAGCGATTTCCCTGGGAATTCCTTGTGGTTTAGATGATTTTCATGAAGCGAATCATAAATTTTATCACCAATATGAGGGAAATTATTGCTTGTGCGGGATAAATCTTGTTATTTTTCTCCCCCCACCCACAGTCAATACAACAAATGAATCATTTCTGTCGGCTCTGAAAGACGCGGAATAATCTATTTGCTATCAGTTGAATGAGGATTGGATAGGTAAAATTTCATAGAATAATCGTTGCAATAGCTATTAGCTATTGCAACGATTTGCTAGTAGCTCAAGAAATACTCAAATAGTAGGCAAATCATTATCAAAATCAACTCCTAGTTCCCTCTCTCTAAATTTGGTTCCCTATCTCTCTAGTTCCCTCAAACCTTACAAAAATCAAAGTATTTCATCAGTTTTGACGTTTTTAGTCCTTTATTTGAGCATCTTGGGTAATTGAAAGGACAGAAATGACAAGAATGGTGTGTCAAAAGGCGTGTAAGTGCTAGCACAAAGTATCAGCTCAACAAACAAGAAAGAATTCAACTTCTACAGTAGATTTACAATAAAGTAGACTTCAGTAAAATCTACAGTATACAGAATAACGCAAAATCAACAAAACCAATAAAGTTGTGGAGTTGAAAAGGCTTAAAAAGGATCTTGTAAAATGAGGTAAAGAGAAAAGCCTTCGAAAAGAAAAACGACGTGATTCAAAGAAACGAAAAAAAGAAAGAAACTCTGAAAATCACAAGCTCATAAGATTCTAAACTGAAGATTTTACTGAACTGAAGATACTTTCTAAAGCATTCAAAGAAAAGAACCGACACTTGTTGTGTGGTTTACAGAGGAAAAATCATCGTAAACGATCGCTTTTGAGAGGGTAATGACCGAAAAAAGTGGCTCGTTTATTTCCCCGGAAAATCGAAAGCGACCACTGACGATCTTTCCGTAAATGAGAAACCTAACTTTCTCAAAAATAAAAATCCAAAACGCTACTTTAAATTTACATTTAAAATCAAGCTCTTTGATTTTTAGCCAACAACTTTGCGTGGATATTAGATTTTAAGCTAATTTTGGTATCATTCGACGCTCAATTTTATTCTGCATCGAATGATGCATCGAAAATAGTGAAAATCGACGCCTTGGTGCTGAGAAAAATACGAAAAACCTTAAATTGTCAACGGCAAAAAAGGACTGACACACAGAAAGGACTTTTCGTTACAAGTCTAGTGGATAACGATCAAAATTTGACCGCGAATAGTACCGATCGGTACTATTAACAATTGAACTTTAATCATAATCTATTATTGCAGCTTACAAAAGGAGCTTGGAAAAATCAAATCTATTGTTGAACTTTCACAGAAGCAAGAAAATCAAGCTCAATGTAAATCTTTGTGAGTTCGATTATAAAAAAACTTTAAAACAGCTTTTAAAACAACTCTAAAACAACTCTAAAACAACTTTAAAACAGCTTTAAAGCAACTTTCAAACAATTTCAAACAATTTTCAAACAAGAACAGCTTTAAAACAACAACAACAACAACAATATAAAAAGAAAATGCAAAAATTGATAATTTTAAGTTCAAAACAAAGTCCTTTGCTAAATTGGAAAATCGAGATTTTCAAGGAAATCCAAGAAACCGAAAAAAACTCGAAAATCGATTGTTCATCACCGCCAAGATAAAGGTCATTTCTTTGCATTTCTCTTGGAAAAAAGAACGGCTTGACGTGTATAAATTGATCAACAATCAATCAAATCAATCAAAGCAACCACAATCAAAAAATTTCAATCTTCATCTAGCAAGTTCTTTTTTGACTTTTTTTTTGAGAAATGAAATCGAATTCGAGATAAAATTGGCGCCAACTAATTTGGGATCGCATTTCTTTCGATGTTGAAAAAGTTGACGAGTTTTTGCAAATGGAAAAACGGAAAAGAAACGGAAAAGAAAAAAAGGAGAAAATGAACTGCAAAGTATGAGCATTTTCTACAAATGAGCAGTACATATTTTTACAAGGTTTTAATTTAATATCAAATTTAGGTCTTCATTTGAAACTTGATCTGTGCGGCAAAATGTTCGATCTTTCCGTTTGTAGCCTTTTGAACTTTCCTGAACTATTCTGTGAGCTGAATCGAATCTAGATCTATCTAATCTTTCAATATTTAACCTTTAGCATACAATAGCTTTGAGATAATTCTGGGTATTTTCTATTTTAACTAACTTTCTTTAACCTTTAATCAGCTCTTTCTACTTTAGAAAAGTGAAAAATTAGAAAAACTACAAAAGACAAAAAAACGACAAAAGTTGGAGCATTAAAGTGATTTTAAATAGAGTGTGTTCCTTGCGAGTAAGTACCGTAAATACTGTAATAGTACCCCACGCCCCTCGTACAGTCGCGTAGTCGCAAAAGTTTTTTAGCATTTCATTTTTTCAAAGCGCCTGTACTTTCAAAAAATGCGTCTTTGGTATCAAAAAATAGCTGAAATTCAGGGCTATTTTTTGATACCTAAGCGCGCATTGTAGCATGAACCAGTGTCAAGAAAAACGCGTCCAAAGCTAGACTACGCAACGCTCCGCACCGTCATTATGGGGGTGGGGCACTATTACAGTATTTACGGTAATTACTCGAGTAAAATTTGCATGACTAATTTTTACTCGATTAATCGACGGTTTTTGACCGAGTAAACTACGAGCAATCCTCTTTACGGGGTAGGTTAGCCTAACTCTAGGTTAGCCTAACTCTAGGTTAGCCTAACTCTAGGTTAGCCTAACTCTAGGTTAGCCTAACTCTAGGTTAGCCTAACTCTAGGTTAGCCTAACTCTAGGTTAGCCTAACTCTAGGTTAGCCTAACTCTAGGTTAGCCTAACTCTAGGTTAGCCTAACTCTAGGTTAGCCTAACTCTAGGTTAGCCTAACTCTAGGTTAGCCTAACTCTAGGTTAGCCTAACTCTGGGTTAGCCTAACTCTGGGTTAGCCTAACTCTGGGTTAGCCTAACTCTGGGTTAGCCTAACTCTGGGTTAGCCTATTGCTTGTCTGAAGTTTTCCTCCAATATATGAAAACGTTTTCTAGGCTGGGTGTGAAATGACAGTTCAAATTAGCGGCAAACCTCAGAGAGTTCCCTTTTCTCTCTTCGATTCCCCATCCCGATTAAATCTTGCCTTTTGTCCAAGGTTTTTTCGTTTTTCCCCAAAAAACAAAGGGAATTGAATGATGTTTTGTGGGAAAAATGAAATCATTTTTCAAATGAACTGAAAGATGAAATGGATCTTGGAAGGCGGTAAAAGAGAAAGTTTTTTTTGAGGGCAATAGCCTGAGGTTTTTCGTTTAAAACCTAGAATAGAAGTGACCAAAAGAAATTAGCGTTTGTTCAGAATAAATATAATAAACGAACAAATAAATTGTGAACAAAACGATTGTGAAATCTTGAAATCATAGTGATATTAGCACGTTCGGGACGGTTCGGTCCACCGGTGGACGAAATTTTTGACGCGATATAACTTTTCAACTTTTTAAGATAAATTTAAGACAAAAGATATGCACGAGCGGGGTTCGAACCCGCTACCCCCTCCCGCCCCAGAGACAGACGCTCTACCGACTGCGCTATAGAAGACCTCTATTGCGCGTACCCCAGTAAAACGGCCATAACTTTTTGGGATAAAGTCTTACCAAAAAATGATGTTGATATGAAATGTTCATCTAGCTGAGCTCCATCCAATAAAACAAAAATCATGGAAAACGGACCATTGGAGACAGAGAAATGCGGCGTTTTGTCTCAGGAGCCAAAAAGAGCCGATATCTTTTTGAGGCAGCAATATTTACAAAATCTGATTACAGATTCGCATTCAGCATGAAATTTTACATATAGGAGGTGTATTTCGGGGCTAATAACTTTGCGAGACACGCCTCGTCCACTGGGGCAGTAACGCAAAAAAACGCCTCGTCGCGAATGTGTTAGAAAAGCAAACTAAGAAATGTTTGTGAGATTTTAACGATTTTGAAGTTTTAAAAGCAAATTTTTAACAACTTACTGCTTAGTGAATAATAAAAACGCAAAATCGAGCAATTAGCCTAAAGTGCTTAGGCTAAAGTACCCAGTTTAAAACACTTTACTTACCGTATCCAGCCTAGAGTTCATAAACTACAAAAGATTATGGTAGAATCCAAATTTACTCACCTTTTAGAAAATGCAGTGGTTTAAGGATCAAAATTGAATCTTCTTAAATTAAATCGAAATGATAAGCTGGATTGAAATTGAATCTTGCTCCTTAACTCAGGTGATTCAACTAATCAAATTATCATTAAAAAACAGTAAATATCTCTGGATTAAGGCATTAAACTTGTAAAACGATTAAACTGTAAAAACCATTAAACATTAAACTTGTAAAACGATTAAACTTGTAAAACCATTAAACTTGTAAAGCCAACTTGTAAAACCATTAAATTTGCATATAAAGAAAGAAAACTTCAGTCTCAAGAAGCATTCCACTCGATCCAATACACTCGAAATTCATCTTTCCCCCCTTTCTCGAAACATCTCATCTTACCACTTCTTTCTTTTCTTCATATTCAGTCTCAAAGTGTGGCTTCCTTTCGTCTCATTTACTCCACCAAATGCTTTCCTCGAAATTCCTCTGATCGAGAAGGGTAAAGAGAAGACATTAGCACGAAATCGGATATGGGCAAGTCTTCGGGGAAACCTCACCAAACA